TTAGCAAGACACCCCCAATAAAGAAGTGGTTCTGCAGGTGGTGACCACAGACCACTTCTCAGTTCCTATGCTTCCTGGCTGATGTTTTGGTCACTTTTGAATGCTGGCGGTGCTTTCACTCTAGTGGTAGGTGGCTCAGGTAGTGCAGCTCGTCCAGGATGGCACATCAATGCGAGCTGTGGCAAGAAGGTTTGCTGTGTCTGTCACCGTAGTGTCCAGAGCATGGAGGCGCTACCAGGAGACAGGCCAGTACATCAGGAGACGTGGAGGAGGCCGCAGGAGGGCAACAACCCAGCAGCAGGACTGCTACCTCCGCCTTTGTGCAAGGAGGAGCAGGAGGAGCACTGCCAGAGCCCTGCAAAATGACCTCCAGCAGGCCACAAATGTGCATGTGTCTGCTCAAACGGTCAGAAACAGACTCCATGAGGGTGGTATGAGGGCCCGACGTCCACAGGTGGGGGTTGTGCTTACAGCCCAACACCGTGCAGGACGTTTGGCATTTGCCAGAGAACACCAAGATTGGCAAATTCGCCACTGGCGCCCTGTGCTCTTCACAGATGAAAGCAGGTTCACACTGAGCACATGTGACAGACGTGACAGAGTCTGGAGACGCCGTGGAGAACGTTCTGCTGCCTGCAACATCCTCCAGCATGACCGGTTTGGCGGTGGGTCAGTCATGGTGTGGGGCGGCATTTCTTTGGGGGGCCGCACAGCCCTCCATGTGCTCGCCAGAGGTAGCCTGACTGCCATTAGGTACCGAGATGAGATCCTCAGACCCCTTGTGAGACCATATGCTGGTGCGGTTGGCCCTGGGTTCCTCCTAATGCAAGACAATGCTAGACCTCATATGGCTGGAGTGTGTCAGCAGTTCCTGCAAGAGGAAGGCATTGATGCTATGGACTGGCCCGCCCATTCCCCAGACCTGAATCCAATTGAGCACATCTGGGACATCATGTCTCGCTCCATCCACCAACGCCACGTTGCACCACAGACTGTCCAGGAGTTGGCGGATGCTTTAGTCCAGGTCTGGGAGGAGATCCCTCAGGAGACCATCCACCACCTCATCAGGAGCATGCCCAGGCGTTGTAGGGAGGTCATACAGGCACGTGGAGGCCACACACACTACTGAGCCTCATTTTGACTTGTTTTAAGGACATTACATCAAAGTTGGATCAGCCTGTAGTGTGGTTTTCCACTTTAATTTTGAGGGTGACTCCAAATCCAGACCTCCATGGGTTGATAAATTTGATTTCCATTGATAATTTTTGTGTGATTTTGTTGTCAGCACATTCAACTATGTAAAGAAAAAAGTATTTAATACGATTATTTCATTCATTCAGATCTAGGATGTGTTGTTTAAGTGTTCCCTTTATTTTTTTGAGTAGTGTATATAAACATGAGAGATTGGAAGTGATGCAGACAATTACATTGATGGAAGTTACAATCTATCTGCAATATTAAGCTGATCTACCCCCTAAAAAGAAAAAAAGAAAAAAGAAAAAAGAAAAAAAGTAACTGTCTCCATACAATGTATGTTCAAAACATTGCGTAGGTCTTGGTATAGCTTGACTTCTTTAGTGGTGATTTCATGCTCTTCTCAGCGAGTAGAACGGGATTGATATTCTCCAGTAAAGCAACACTCTTTGTGGTGTTACTCTAAAGAGATACATTCCTATTTAGCCATGCTACCTGCCCTGACATCTCTAGTTCTCTTTCACAATGAACAAAAGTGTGACAGCTTTCAATTTACAGTATAGCTCTTAGTACTTCTATGAGCCAAAAAGATCACCCATAGAAGCCTCAGGCACGACTCACACATTTCTCTTTTAACACTTCTTCACCAGTTTATCCCTATATCCCTTTATACCTCACCCATTGATTGGCCTATCCTTCCTGTATCTCTCAATGTCCTTTTTCATATCTACAGTACCAGTCAAAAGTTTGGACAAACCTACTCAAGCCAGGGTTTTTCTTTATTTTTACTATTTTCTACATTGTAGAATAATAGTGAAGACATCTAAACTATGAAATAACACATATGGAATCATGTAGTAACCAAAAAAGTGTTAAACAAATCAAAATATATTTTATATTTGAGATTCTTTAAATAGCCACCCTTTGCCTTGATGACAGCTTTGCACACTCTTGACATTCTCTCAACCAACTTCACGTGGAATGCTTTTCCAACAGTCTTGAAGGAGTTCCCACATATGCTGAGCACTTGTTGGCTGCTTTTCCTTCACTCTGCGGTCCGACTCATCCCAAACCATCTCAATTGGGTTGAGGTCGGGGGATTGTGGAGACCAGGTCATCTGATGCAGCACTCCATCACTCTCCTTCTTGGTAAAATAGCCCTTACACAGCCTGGAGGTGTGTTGGGTCATTGTTCTATTGAAAAACAAGTGATAGTCCCACTAAGCCCAAACCAGATGGGATGGCATATCGCTGCAGAATGCTGTGGTAGCCATGCTGGTTAAGTGTGCCTTGAATTCTAAATAAATCACAGAGAGTGTCACCAGCAAAGCAGCCCCACATAATAACACATTTTTATACATTTTAGTCAGTCATACGTTTTTTTTTTAAATTTAAAAATATAAAAAAAATCATACATAACACCTCCTCCTCCATGCTTTACGGTGGGAAATACACATGCGGAGATAATCCGTTCACCCACACCGCGTCTCACAAAGACACAGCGGTTGAAACCAAAAATCTCCAATTTGGACTCCAGACCAAAGGACAAATTTCCGCCGGTCTAATGTCCATTGCTCATGTTTCTTGGCCCAAGCGAGTCTCTTCTTCTTATTGGTGTACTTTAGTAGTGGTTTCTTTGCAGCAATTCAACCATGAAGGCCTGATTCACACAGTCTCCTCTGAACAGTTGATGTTGAGATGAGTCTGTTACTTGAACTCTGTGAAGCATTTATTTGGGCTGCAATTTCTGAGGCTGGTAACTCTAATGAACTTATCCTCTGCAGCAGAGGTAGCTCTGGGTCTTCCATTACTATGGCGGTCCTCATGAGAGCCAGTTTCAATTGATGGTTTTTGTGACTATACTTGAAAAACTTTCAAAGTTCTTGAAATGTTCTGTATTGACTGTCCTTCATGTCTTAAAGTAATGATGGACTGTCGTTTTTCTTTGCTTATTTGAGCTGTTCTTGCCATAATATGGACTTGGTCTTTTACCAAATAGGGCTATCTTCTGTATACCCCTCCACCTTGTAACAACACAACTGATTGGCTCAAACGCATTAAGAAGGAAATAAATTCCACAAATTAACTTTTAAGAAGGCACACCTGTTAATTGAAATGCATTCCATGTGACTACCTCATGAAGCTGGTTGAGAGAATGCCAAGAGTGTGGAAAGCTGTCATCAAGGCAAAGGGTAGCTATTTGAAGAATCTCAAATATTAAACATATTCTGATTTGTTTAACATTTGTTTGGTTACTACATGATTCCATATGTGTTATTTCCTAGTTTTGATGTCTTCACTATTATTCTACAATGTAAAAAATAGTAAAAATAAAGAAAAACCCTTGAATGAGTAGGTGTGTTCAAACTTTTGACTGGTAGTTTATGTCAAACAGCTAAAAGTGGAGCTATGGCTATTCGAATTCCCTCCCTGTATACAACCCTTTTCTTTTTTATATATACATTTTATTTATTGATTTTAGATCACAACAGAATCGCAGCCAAATATATATATAACCTAAAAATAAAATAATTATTAACTTAAACAGGCCAACAATCAGCATTTCACAAGACAATGTAATTGGTACTATGGTACATGTAATTGTATATACAACCCTTTTCTAGTAGAGAAATGCATTGAGTGAAGGTAAAATGAAAGGAAGACAAAGAAAGCGATAGTGATGGAAGGGAAGTGAAATATTCTCGATCTCTCGTACTTTCTCTTTCTTGCTCACACACGCATGCAAGCACGCACGCATACACACAAAGTGAATGTTGGTATATTTGGCCAAAATAATTTCCTCATGAAAGAACCACTTTAGTATTTACGTATTCAAGCTCTAAATTCTGTCAAATATCCAATGTGTGTTGTAATACTGTCTCTTTACTGCATGGGGGCAGCAGAGAGCCACAATAAGTTATTACTCAATGACAACTTCTCATTCAGTACGAAATCATAAGAGGTGAATGAAATACCACCAAGACCAAGTGGGCATTGTCATTGTGTGTGAGTGTATGTACCGGTGTGTATTTGTATTGTGTGTGTGTGTGTGTGTGTGTGTGTGTGTGTGTGTGTGTGTGTGTGTGTGTGTGTGTGTGTGTGTGTGTGTGTGTGTGTGTGTGTGTGTGTGTGTGAGAGACAGAGAGAGATACAGAGAGTCTGTGTATAACTACACACCCCTTGAACCAACACCTATTTGTACCTATGGTTATATTGGTAGCAGGCAGGGCAGGTAGTGAATAGGTGCTGGTTTCAGGGCATGTCAGTATCATTACACAATGACACACCTTGATCCAACTATTTACAGTTACACACACACACACACACACACACACACACACACACACACACACACACACTGCCTTCTTTAGCAGTGACTTCATACCTGTTCCTTTAGCAGGTAGAACCACATTAAAGGGATACTTTCATATTTAGCCAATAGCCATGTAACCTGCCTTGAGATTTCATAATAGCTTGTAGCGCAGAATTAAATATAAAAATGATATGTATCTCTATGGCTTGTAGCTAAACTACCCCCATAAATGCCTTTATGTGGATTCTTATGCCACTGAGTGTAATCCTTCTTAAAAGCAACTGTTTGAATATTCAGAGCTTGTTGTTTCTGCTCATCTATAGTGTCAGCCCTAGCTATGGAAACACAATTTCCCTAGTATACCTCCAGGGTTTAAGCCAATGGAAAGTCAGTCCACACCGGTGTTGGAAAGGAAAATGACCTAGGCCATTAAATACCCTTTTTGTGGTATAATTTTCATGTTTTCTACCCAGTTGACATTCCCCTTGCTTACCTCCTCCGTGTCCACGCTGGTGCCCTCCTCCTTATACTTCTCTTCCTCCTTCTTTTCCTTCTCCTGCTCATTCTCTGTCCCATCCTTTGGGGTGGGGACTCCCCCCTCTAGGTCCCTCTCGGCTGGGTGAGGTTCGACGCTGACTGGACTCTCTTGGGATGGCTCCTGGGTGTCAACAACGGTTCTCTGGAGGTCGTTTTCCGAGGGGCCCAATGACCCAGGCTCCTCTGTCCCAGGGGAGGGTGACTCGACCTGGGCACGGTCGGCGAGTAACCTGGCCTGAGACCCCCACCTCCGGGGCTTGACGGAGAAATCATCATAGACCATCTTGATAAGAGGCTTCTCCTCTTTGACAGAGAAGTCGTCGTAGACCACCTCGATGTGAGGCTGCTTCTCTTCCTTCGGTATGGGTTCTATGATGGGGACGGTAGTGGAGGGAGAAGGAGGCTCTGGCTTGGGAGGTTGGTCAGGTTTAAGAGTGATGAATTGGATTGGGAACTCTGCTTCTTCTTTATCCTGCTCTTCTTCTCTCTGTCTCTCATCTTTTACTCTAAGCTTCCCCCTCTCTCCTTCCGTTACCTGTCTCTCTCCCTTTCCTCTCCACTTCCTCTTGTCTTTCTTCTCCTCCTCCTCTTTCCTATCTCTCTCTTCCTCTCTCTGTGTCTCCTTTTCCCTCTCAAGTTCTATTTGTCTTTCTCTCTCCTTCCTCTTCTTCATCTTCTCTTCCTCTCTCTTCCTCTTCTCTCCCCTCGTCTCCTTCTCGTCTCTCCCTTTCCTTCTCAAGTTCTATCTGTTTTCTTCTTCCTCCCCCTCTTCTTTCCTCTTTCTCTCCCTACTCGTCTCCTCCTCTGTCTCTCCCTTTCCTCTCAAGTTCATCATCATCTTTCTTCTCTCTTTCGCCTCTTCTTTCCTCTTTCTCTCCCCTCTCTTCTCCTCCTCTCTCGCTCTCCTTTCCTTCTCAAGTTCTATCTCTTTCTCTTCTTCCCTCTTCTTTCCTCTTTCTCCTCCCTCTTTTTCCTCTTCTTCTGTCTCTTCTTTTCCCCTTTTCTTCTCAAGTTCTATCAGTCTTTCTCTCTCTTTCTCCTCTTCTTTCCTCTTTCTCTCCCTCACTTCTTCCTCTCTCTGTCTCTCCTTTTCCCTCTCAAGTTCTATCTGTTTTTCTCTCTCCTCCTCTTCTTTCCTCTTTCTCTCCCTCTCTTCCTCCTCTCTCCGTCTCTCCTTTTCCCTCTCAAGTTCTATCTGTTTTTCTCTCTCCTCCTCTTCTTTCCTCTTTATCTCCCTCTCGTTGTCCTCTCTCTGTCTCTCCCTTTCCTTCTCAAGTTCTATCAGTCTTTCTCTCTCTTTCGCCTCTTCTTTCCTCTTTCTCTCCGTCTTTTCCTCCTCTCTCTGTCTCTCCCTTTTATTCTCAAGTTCTATCAGTCTTTCTCTCTCTTTCTCCTCTTCTTTCCTCTTTCTCTCCCTCACTTCTTCCTCTCTCTGTCTCTCCTTTTCCCTCTCAAGTTCTATCAGTCTTTCTCTCTCTTTCTCCTCTTCTTTCCTCTTTCTCTCCCTCTCTTCCTCCTCTCTCTGTCTCTCCCTTTCCTTCTCAAGTTCTATCAGTCTTTCTCTCTCTTTCTCCTCTTCTTTCCTCTTTCTCTCCCTCTTTTCCTCCTCTCTCTGTCTCTCCCTTTCCTTCTCAAGTTCTATCTGTTTTTCTTGCTCCTTCTCCTCTTCTTTCCTCTTTCTCTCTCTCTCTTCTTCATCTCTCTGTCTCTCCCTATCCCTCTCCTCCTCTCTCTGTCTCTGTCTCTCCATTTCCCTCTCCATTTCTCTTTGCCTTTCTCTCCACTCCTCTTCTTTCCTCTTTCTATCTTCTTCCTCATTCTGTCTCTCCCTTTCCTTTTGATTCTCCAGTTCCTTTTGTCTTTCTCTCTCCCTCTCCTCTGCCTGTCTCTCTTCTACCTCCAGCTGTTTTAATTTTTCCACTTCTGCAAGTTTTTCCTCCTCTTTCACCTTAGCCTCCATCTCGTTCCCTATTTGATCAACCACTAGCTCCTGTTGTGTCCCTCCATCTTCCTGTCCAAGAAGTCTCCCTACTGTTTTGTAGAGTGGTACCTCCTCCTCCTCTCCCTCCTCCTCTTCCTCATCTTCATCTTCATCCTCCTCATCCTCTATCCCAAAATGTCCTGAGCGAAGTAGGGTGGAAGCCTTGTCCTCTCGAGGAGCTAGCTGAACACTTTTGCTTGTCGCCAACGACCCCCCAGTGACACTCAACACAGGGTGAACTCTGACAGGGAATGGTTGAGGGGCAACATCCACCCTCTGATTGGATGCCTGAACAGGAGGTGTGTCTGCTGCCCAGTCTTTGATTCGCTGTTTCACACCTACAGAACTGTCTGCTTGTTTCATTGGACAAGGTACTTCCTCCCTCTTGGTCAGAGCCTCTGGCTTCAAGGAGGAGTCCAGTAGCAGACTGATCCTCCGTTGTATGCTGCTCCCTTTCTTTACTCCTTCCTCCTTCACCCCTTCTCCATCCCTCTCTTCCTTCAGTGGTGCTGAGTGCTCCGGGTCAGATGATGACCCTGGTGAATCAGTGACCTTCTCCTCCTCTTTGGCCCTGAGGACTGACACTTTGGGGACTGCAGTCTCTCTCTTGGTCACCTGTTCCCATTCTTGTTTAGCTGGTGGCTGTGAGGAGAGTGAGAGGCCGGCCGACTCAAACCTGGAGGTGAGCTCCATGGACAGCCGCTTCCTGCCTCCTCCCCAGCGGGCTGCCTGATCCTTCCCAGAGTGGCGCCTGACGACCGCAGGGGTGGGCTCACTCACAGTGTTTTCAGACTGCGGTTGAAGAGGAGTTGAGGTGACCGATGGTGATGGTACAGCCTCAGTTCCAGTGGTGGAGTGGCCTGTATCAGAGTCGCCATGTTCATCCAGTTCAGATAGACTGACTTGATTTGCCTCTGAGGTTCCAGTTGGGTCAGATGTGGTACTAGCTGGTGGCTCAGATGTTGGGGTAGTAAGGGATGTGGAAAGAGCAGTTTGGTTTTGTTCAGTGGTGTGGGTCGAGTCAGTTTGGGGTGTTATGGCTGAAGGAGCTTCGAGAGCATTGGTCAGTTCAGGTATCGTGGTGCTCTCTCTATCAAGTTTCACAGCGCTGCTTGAGTCAGACACAGGGGCACTGATAGGCTGACAAGGCTCTGGTTTGCTGGATGTAGTGGGCATGGTCTGAGACGGCTGTGGAGTCGTTGTGAGTGTCTTTGGGGCTAGGATGGAGCGGAATGTGGTGTTCCTCTGCAGTGAGAAGGGTTTGGGAATCAGGCAAGGTTTGGGGCCAGGCTCAGGCTTGACACCTGCATCTCCTGCTTGGCCCACCTCACCAGAGTCCACGTCCACACGAGCTGCCATGCCCTCACTTCCTTCCTGAAAACAGAAAAGCGTATGGAAAAGGGGAAGACAGGATAGGGGAGTGGAGCAAAGGAGAGTGGTGGAGAGAAAGAGAGAGTTGGGCAGGAGAGGAGAAGGCACAGAAGGGGAGGGGGAGGGGGAGGAGGACGTGAGAAGAGAGGAGAGAAGAAGAAATGCTATTTTAGGCTATTGGTGCTACATGAAGCCAGGTAGAAAACAAATAATTGGCTTTACTTCACATTAGGCTGTCACTCTGCTCTCTGTGAAAAATACTTTTACCATATCATATCAGTATCACTTTGGTGATACTCAGGGTTGAAAGCCAGTCGGTTTGGTTCTCTCAGGCCAAGCTAAAAGAGGCTGGTTGGGCTAGATTTTTACAGAGGAAAAATACCTCTAAAAAAGCTACCTCTGACACCGTAAGCTACCTTACCTTAATACCTACAGTATTATTGTTATGTCAGTGAAATAAATGTCAATGGACTGACAGTTGTTATGCTAAATTCTACATCATGCATAACAATTCACTTATTTCAGTGAGGGATTTGCAACCAAATACAAATCTTTAGCACTGTATTCACTTAACCCTGTGAGACCCACAGTTGCAAAAATGCAATGCTTCCTAAATTGCATCCTGTACAGGTCCTAAACTAAATAATCATGTCAAACACAGTGCATCTCCTTAGGCCCAGGTGTATATCTTAGTAGTATTTGTTGTGTGTATGATTATTGTGGCATCATTAGCCTCTGAAACATTAGAAACCACAAGGCGCTTCAGAGGGTATACGTGCAGCTGAACGCACCATTGGGTGTACACTGCCTGCCCTACAGGACACCTACAACACCAGGTGTCACAGGAAGGCCGAGATAATCATCAGGGACCCCAGCCACCCAAGCCATGCCCTGTTCTCCCCGCTTCAATCACTCAGACACAGTCAGTACAGGAGCATCATGGCAAAAACTGGAAGACTGGCCAATAGTTTCTACCCTCAGACCATCAGGCTGCTGAATAGCCACCACTAGTCAGATTTTCACTGTACCCCGCAATCACACCTGCAACCCTGTACATGTGACTATTAAACACTCTGAATCTGAAACCTGTCCACTTGTCTGAGACCACACTGGTCCCCTACACAAGCATATGTAGTAAGCCATCCATGAATTTTTTTTCCAGTCTTCTCTAAGATGTAGTGATTATGTAGAAAAGAAATAATCGAGAAACACACATTCTGAGCCAGAGCTAGAGGTAGTTTTGTAAGTATTGCAAAAAGGCAACATTGGGTTTATTAAAGGGTTGCTAAACTCATGCATAGGGCCACATTTATATATTGATATACAAGTTAGAGAGATTGTTTACCTTCCGAATTCTGCAAATACGGACAACCAAATACTTCAACATGAACTTTGATGTTCCCTCTAGACATTCAAATAACAAAAATGAATATATATATTTTTTTTAAATAGTGGTTTATGAAGTCAGAATACTACCATTGACGGTCATTCATTTTATGGTAAAGAAATAAGACACATTATCTTTCCAAGTTCAGCCAGAAAGGACAACCAAATACAACTCAAAGTAAGTTAGATGTTCTCCATATATAGAAAACCCACAAAATAATTGATGCTTTGAAAAATATATGTTTTTGATAGCAAAATACAAAAATATGGATTGGTCAAGATGATACATTTTGCTATTTCAGACAAATGTAGACTTAATTTTAGGTTAATATACCATGACACAATATTTTCCATCACCTGTCAATGATTTTGATCCATTTTTATGTGATTTTTATAGAATTTCATAGTTTTCTTAGCACAAAATGTTCATAACATGGGGGGCTAGTATGAAAAATTAAAAAATAAGGTATGCACTCACTAACTGTAAGTCGCTTTGGATAAGAGCGTCTGCTAAATTACAAAAAAAAGTTTTTAAAATGTAAGCCCAGTGTTGCATAATCAGAGGTCTATTACAAGTATTTCTGAAGGGTAATATTATTTTGAATCTATGTTTGGGTTTTACAGAGTTAAAGATGATTAATCTTATCCTTATAATCACCTATACAGGGACGATCTACAAAAAGTGCTGTTGTTTACCCTCAACTAAACAGTGACAGTGTTCCTTTGCCATGATATTCATGATTTAATCTCAAATCTAAATAGCTTTTATATCTGATTGATTCTAGGATAGCTGATCTCTATGCTATAATAACTTTTGTATTGAGTTGTTTAAGGAAGCTGTTCTGATTTCTAACCATTCTTGGATTGACACTAAAGAGTCAAGCCAGGTTGTTTGGTCGATTTGTGAGTGAAGTCATCTGATTTGAATGGAAAAAAAACACAAATGTGTCCCAGTTGCGTGTTGCACATCCTGTCTGGTTCTTCCTGTCAGCTGTCAGTGTAGTATAAACCAGTCCAACCACACTCTATAGATTAAGCACTTTAAAACCATGTGAGGAGCCCCAAGGTCTGACTGGGAGGCATAGGGGTGTATCCCAAATCCCACTGGGCAAAAACTGGTTGAATAAACATTGTTTCCAAGTCATTAAAAAAAAAAGTGGTGATGTTGAATCAATGTGTAATTTTCGTCTTTTTTTCACCCAACTTGCAACCTAAATCCAATGACATGGTGAAACGGTTTGTTGATTTCACATTGAAATCACGTTAGTTGACAACTCAACTAATTGCAAATCAAAACTAGATGTTGAACTGACGTCTTTGCCCAGTGGGATGGCACTCTAATTCCCTATAAAGTGCACTAGGCTACATTTGACCAGAAAACGACTCTGCCCCCCTCTCTAGCCCCGTCATTATAGTACTGGCACTTAGGGCTCTCATCAAACTGGGTTTCCACTTTTAAGGACAGGACAGGTTTCGATTGAATAGGGCTCTGTCACAAAGTAAGATACGATCTAATGGGAAATGTTTGCAACATACTCACTTCTTGTTGTAAACAAATGGTAAGGGACACCACTTTTAGTCAAAAACTATAGTAGCCCATTCTGATATTTGTATTATCTATGATCTATTCCACCCGATATAATAGATCGCAAAAAATACTGTGTTTGATACTTCTTGTATTCGCAATTCCAGAACACCTGTAACTGAGCTCCCACCAGTCTCAAATATTTGTGTCTATGTTTGCAGTCAGTCCACCAAAGAAAATTCGAAAATACACTCTACTTGCCAAGTCTATCTTTTGCAGACTGATATTTAAGACACGTATTTTTTTGTTATACAGAACATATAATAAAGTATAGCGCCATGTTTGGTTGTAAGAAAAACTAACGAAAAAACACCTCATTTGACTCTGTAACCTTTAGTTGGTATTAATAAGTGACCAATAAATGCAGCACACAATGAACTCACTGTCGTTGAACTATAATAAAAGTCCCGGAATGACCTCCTGCTACATTAAGATTCCTGATAGTGAAATTGTTTAATATACCTTTTCCTTGTTGCATATCTCTAGCCTATACTGTCAAATTAAAAGCGTTTTATGATTAAATAGAACTAACGATAACGTAGGTGTTACTGGAGTGGACGTATTGCTGTGATCAACTGACAACTCAGGTGTTTTATATGAATAGGCTTGAGACTTTACCTGTTATCTTTAGGATCTCCAGATTAGAATATGTGTTGAACAGAGGCTGTTTGATAAATTTGTCTCCGTCTCTCTCCAAAGTCATTCAACATCCCACACAAGAATACTATTGTGCCACAGCGAACGATAGTCCGCGACAGTCGTTAGAGCGGGAGTCCGAACAGATCTGTCCCTCCCACAGGTGCTGCTGCATGACTGACTGGACAAACAGGTTTGATGTGAATTGAACAAGAGCCTAGAGAAAAGGGTTAAATTTACAGTTCAAGAAGCTCAAATTTCCCCTCATTGTTGATGGTGATTTTGGTTTTGCCTACTTTCTTGCGCCTCTGACCACAATTTGCTAGTAAGCTAGTTAGCAGTAGTTAGTAGTTGCAGTTTTGAAAGTCTAATTAGTAGGTCTATGGCTATAAAACATAGGCTTGAGTTGACAAATAGGCTACAGCCTTAGATTTCCGGCTGGGGTAAAACAGTATGGGAGAGTGGGGTAAGTTGAGCCATTTTTTACATTCAGCATCGCTCCATCATGGGAAATATTGTATTCTTTCTAACAAACATATCTCCATATGTTTCAGGATGTTGTGTATCCCTGGAAATAATCAGAATTCATGGCCATTTCCAAGAAACAAGGGTGGCTCAGTTTACCCATTTGGCTCAACCTACCCCATACTCCCCTACAGCATCCTAAAACTCAAAAAGCAGGCTCTTCCAGAATTAATGCGAGACATTTTACAGATTGTGAGTTTAAAATATTGAAGGACTGTTAATCAGTGGGGGGGTGAAAAAAAAAAAAAATTGGCTATATGTGGTTCGAATGCCTTTGGCCACTGCATAAATCGAATTTTGGCGAAAATCTCTCCAAATGTCCTTTGCGCAAAACTCCGAGTGTGCGTTTATTAGCAAACAGGTGTCGCCTATGCAAGGTGTGGTATGTGGTGCACATCCTGCCCCTAGTGGTATTCCTTTGAAAGTCCGTCTCACCTCCACTTTCTCTCTGACCTGTTGTCATGGCAACTGTAAAGCGTGCGCTTACAAAAACAAGTGCTTGACCCATCGTCAGCGAGAAGCGGGGGTTCTTCATTCGACATCTACGACGCCATCTTATTGCTTTGAGCGAGGTAGACCGAGACAAATAGACAAGGTTGTCATCACTGGTAATTATGAGCGGAGGTAAAGCGCGCATCGACCCGCCTGTTGCTGCTGAGAATGTCTCGAGTACCGGTCACAGTTCCGCGGCTGCTGCGCGGGAGCGCAAGCCAGGTGGAGGGGTTCTGAAGAGACTCAACTCTCGGCAAAGCCAGGTGGATAGTAGGCCGGTCACAGAAGACGATCTTCGAACACAAGTTGGCCACATCACCCCTGAACAGGTCCTAAGATTGCGGGTTGCTACTCGGGGTAGGCTATATCTATTTTCTGCATGATATTGGCCGTGGTTGGCTGTTTATACAAATGGGTAGCTAGCTACAGGTTCATTTACATACAGTGGAATTTACATAACTGGCAAGCTATGCCTGTCTATTTACCTGAATAGCCTAGTTGCTGTGACAAATCAGAGATTGTTAGCTAGATCACATATACTGAACAAAAATATAAACACAACATGTAAAGTGTTGGTCCCTTGTTTCATGAGCTGGAATAAAAGATCACAGACATTTTCCATAAGCACAAAAAGCTTATTTCTCTCAAATTCTGTGCAGACATTTGTTTACATCCCTGTTAGTGAGCATTTCTCCTTTGCCAAGATAATCCATCCACCTGACAGGTGCAGCATATCAAGAAGCTGATTAAACAGCATGATCATTACACAGGTGCACCTTGTACTGGGGACAATAAAAGGCCACTCTAAAATGTGCAGTTTTGTCACATAATACAATGCCACAGATGTCTCATGTTTTGAGGGAGCCTGCAATTGGCATGCTGACTGCAGGAATGTCCACCAGAGCTGTTGTCAGATAAATGAATGTTCATTTCTCTACCATAAGCCGCCTCCAATGTTTTTTTAGAGAATTTGTCAGTACGCCGAACCGGCTTCACAAATGCACACCACGTGTAACCATGCCAGCCCAGGACCTCCACTGGGGGGGGGGGGGTTCTGAGGATTATTTCTGTCTGTAATAAAGCCCTTTTGTGGGGAAAAACTCATTTTGATTGGCTGGGCCTGGCTCCCCAGTGGGTGGGCCTGGATCCCAAGTGGGTGGACCTATGCCCACCCATGGCTGCGCCCCTGCCCAGTCATGTGAAATCCATAGATTAGGGCCTAATGATTTTATTTCAATTGACTGATTTCCTTGTATGAACTGTAACTCAGTAAAATTGTTGCATGTTGCTTTTATATTTTTGTTCAGGAAAGACAGATAGATATATGAAAAATGTATGCACTCACTAACTGTAAGTCGCTCTGGATAAAAGTGTCTGCTAAATGACTAAAATGTAAAATGTAAATATATATATATATATATATATATATATATATATAGATAGATAGATAGATAGATAGATAGATAGATAGATTTTATTGCCCTTTAAAATAGTAGATCTTTTAAGACAGCCACTGACCACCTCTACTGTCTGTCCATCCCAGGGTACCTGTGTAAACCAGAGGACAACATTTTCAACATAGATTTCATCCGCTTTAAAATCAGAGACCTGGAGACAGGGACTGTGTTGTTTGAAATCGCCAAACCACCTCATACGGGTACAGTCCATATTCCCTCTCAGTATGTGTGTGTGTGTCAGTGTATCACTACTGTAGTATGTCTGAGAAATATCCTGTATTTGTGATGGATCACCGTGCCATTGGTTAAAAAATACATTCTGTGTGTTGTTGTGTCTTTGACCTCAGAGGAAGATGAGGAGAAAGGAGAGGGAGACATGAGTGCCGGACGTTTTGTATGCTACCAGTTCACCGCTGCATTCCTACGACTGAGGACTGTGGGAGCCACGTGCGTATACTCTCTCTCACACACTCACACACATAAACACACATGCACACACAGTACTTATTGTATGTTGACACCTTTCTCTGTCTGTCAGAGTGGAGTTTACGGTTGGTAACCGGCCTCTGAACAGCTTCAGGATGATTGAGAGGCACTACTTCAGGGATCACCTCCTGAAGAGCTTTGACTTTGACTTCGGCTTCTGTATCCCAAACAGCCGCAACACCTGCGAACACATATACGAGTTCCCTCAGCTGTCTGAGAGCTTGGGTGAGTGTCACATTCCATCCATCAATCAATGTCCCCGTTTGAAGCACTTTGTGACTGATGTTTTTGTTTTTGTGGAAAAGTACTACATAAATAAATTGTTTTGAGTAAATAAATAAAACATGTACATTAAATTTATGTGGAAATGCAATAATTTACTGAAGGAAATGTGCATCACCTTTTGAATACATTTTCCAGACATATTGTATTTAGCAGTAGTATATGGATGAAATACAGAATAATATGTTCCATGTTATGTTATGTTCCCTTCCAGTTCATCAGATGGTGGAGCATCCCTACGAGACGAGATCGGACAGCTTCTACTTCGTAGACAACAGACTGGTCATGCACAACAAGGCAGACTACTCTTATAACGGGGGCAGGCATTGAGTGTCTGTGTGGCTGTGCGTGCGTGCATGAGTGTGTGCGTGTGTGTATGTTTGTGTGTGTGCTGTGCCAAAGCCTATACTCACACAAACAGACTCTCACGCGAGTGTTGATTACTGTAAGTTAAACAAACTTTATTGTCATGGCATAGCTGTATAGGCTACTATGGAAAAGTTTAAGAACAGCAGGACAGATCCACATTAGAGCCATATAGACTACTGGCAGTAGTATGGCAACCTTCTGACATATAGTGCTTTGTCTCTCTCCCACCAAAAATGAAATGTGTCTCAGCTAACCAAGTGATTTATGTTAGTGTGTAGTTGAACAGTTGATGTACTGTTCACTACTTGGCTTTTAGGGGGAGTCATACCCATAAAGGACCAGACAATGACTACACACATACAGAGAGACTGACAGGCAGATAGGCAGGCAGACAGATGTAGAAACAATCTCCCTCCCTCGCTCTCTCCCTCCCTCTCCCTCTCTCTCTATTTCTCTCTCTCTGTCGTTACCTGCTGTGCCCACACGCCACTCTAGATGTATTAATAAGAGCGGAAGGGGGAATACACCCATCCACCCACGTACTCACACACACACACACTCACTGTCAAACACTCATGCCAGCTCACTCACATACAGTGCCTAGTGAAAGTCTACACACCCCTTGCTTGTCCCCGGCAGGGACTGGGGAGTTTGTCAGAATCAAAATAAATATGAAACAAGCAAAGTCCAGGTAAAAAGTTAGAGGAAAACCTGCCTCAGTCTTCTGAATACCCTGGGATAGAGTTTTATTTTACAATTACACCAGAATGGCATTCAAAGTGGTGTTGAGTGTTCCTGAATGGTCCAGTCTCAGTCCTGACTTAAATCTGCTTGAAAATCAGAGATAAGGTTTGAATATTGCTGTCCATCAATGATTCCCAACCAAATGTACTGAGCTTGAGCAGTTTTGACAAAAAGGATGGATATATGTTGCCCTAAGAGTTGTGCAAAGTTGGTAGAATCGTATTGAAAATGGTGGTCCTCTGTAGCTCAGCTGGTAGAGCACGGCGCTTGTAACGCCAAGGTAGTGGGTTCGATCCCCGGGACCACCCATACACAAAAAAAAAAATAATGTATGCACGCATGACTGTAAGTCGCTTTGGATAAAAGCGTCTGCTAAATGGCATATTATTATTTACAGCTGTAGTTGCTTCCACCAAGTATTAACTCTGGGGTCTGAAGACACCTTATGTTCTATACTCTTTCATTCACTTTGAAAATGTGGCGCAGGTTGTGTAGATCAGTAGGAAATAAAAACAAAATGTAATCTCTTTTTTAAATATTTAATTTTAAGGCAGAAAATGTGACAACTGTGCAAGGGGTGTGTAGACTTTCACTAGGCACTGTACTTTCACCACACCCCCTCCCAGGGAGACCCACTGCAGCATGTCTCCTGAATGTACTTGGATTCAAATTCAACTTTATTTATAGTGCATCCAACGTGCAGGTCCAATAACATACTTCACAAACAAGTTGATCAGAGGAAGGACTCCTACATTTACAGTCAAATCAGATTCATAACGATATAATCAAAAGCAGTAACAGACAGGTATTGCAACTGAAACTTTTATGTACATAATTTATCATGTATTTTTGGTGTCCTTCTGTGTTTTGACAGGCACTTATAAATAGAACTTAGTATTATATTTTTATTTATACAAACTGAGAAGACAGCCCTGGTCAGAAAATTGTCAACAATTATATGTGCGGTCATATAGGATACAGTGCTTTACCCAACTCTTGATTGTATTAATATGGCAGGTTGACACTATTTATTACCATGTTTTATCATGTTATAAAGTAAAAAGTTGTAGTGTTTTTGATTGTTTCCTCAAGAAACACCAAAACCGCTTGAGGCATCAAAATGTGTGAAATATGTGTGGATTTGAGGGATATTGGTGATAGATCTTTGTTAGAGATAGCTAGAAATCAAATAGTGTATCCTTTTGTGTTTTGTAAACTACTGGTGTCCAGGGTTAAGTGTATACTTGTATTTTTTTTTTTTATGTCAAGAATAAACACATGTGAATTTTCAAATTCGTTTGATGAGGTGCAGCAGTATGTTTCAGCAATGTCATTAATTAATTCATTCATTCATTCATTCATTCAATCTGTTAAGAAGTTACCAGGAGAGTGAGCGCCGCCCTTCCGGGTTTCCTAGGTAGAAAACAGTGGCAGGTGTTGGCCACGAGGAGGAGTCATGTGACAAAGAATCAAGGGAGAAGAACCTGTTTTGGTTTGGGGAATGGAAACTACTACAACAACAATAACTAAATCACAGATGAACAATCTGTTGAATGATTAATAATACAAAACCATTGATTCTTGAATAATATAATTTTAAATGCCTTATCCTCAGTGGTGTAAAGTAACTAAGAAAAAATACTTTGAAGTACTACCTAAAGGAAAATTCCACCCAAAAACGATCTTTTGGTATTTGTTCATTAGTCCATTGTTGAAATAGTCCCAAAATGTTTTGCATGTCAGCAAGCAAGTTTTCAAGATATATCACTTTCAAAGTACAGAAATACAGCCGGTATGATGCATTTCACATCATATGATGCAAAACGTAGCATCATATGATGCAAAATGCATTATACTGGCTGTATTTCTGTATTTTGAAAGTTATATATCTTGCTGACATGCAAAACATTTTGGGACTATATGAACAATGTACTAATGAAACAAATACCAAAATATTGTTTTTGGGTGGAGATTTCCTTGTAGTTTTTTTAAGGGTATCTGTACTTTACTATTTATATTTTTGACAACTTTTACTTTTACTCCACTACATTCCTAAAGAAAATATGTACTTTTTACTCTCATACAATTTCCTTGATACCCAAAAGTACTCGTTACATTTCGAATGCTCAGGCAAGACAGCAATATGGTCCAATTCACACACCTATCAATATAATGCATTGTCATTCCTACTGCCTCTGACTCACTAAACATAAATACTATTTTTGTAAATGATGTCTGAGTGTTGGAGTGTGCCCGAGTGTGCCCCTGGCTATCTGTAAATAAATAAAAACAAGAAAATTGTGTCAATAATTGTTTGCGTAATATAAGGAATTTGATGTATAGCGTTTACTTTACATTTTAACTTTTACTCAAGTATGACAGTTGCATACTTTTCCCACCACTGCACTTAAGTAGATTTTAAACCAGATACTTTTAGACATTTACTCAAGTAGTATTTTACTGGGTGACACTTTTACTTGAGTCCATTTTCTATTAAGGAATCTTGACAAATGACCATTGAATACTTTTCCACCACTGCTTATCCTATCATAACCCGTTGATAACCCAAAATGTAAGGTTGTAAAAATTGGATTTAGACGTAGCTTATTATTAGAAAAAGATGGCAAATACTGATTATGTTGTTAATCTGATACATGGAATGTTTTCTAGAATGACACATTTTTTTATACAGAATGGTGTAGTCTATTCTGTGATTTAATGGAACACTTACTTATCCCCAGCTGTGTTAGTCCTGTGTGGTTTTAAACAGAACGTCTTTCTCCCTCTCTATTTTCTTATCTGAATGTACAGCTCTACATCTCCCCCATTCTCAGTTTCCCTCTCTCTTTCCACCTCTCTTCAACTCTTGTCCAAATCTCATTCTCTTTCTCTTCCCTCATCTCCTATTCCTCTCTCCTCCCTCCTCCTCTCTCTTGCTCGGGCTCTGTTTTTCCATTCTTTCTTCCTCTCTCACCTGGTAACCAGACCTCTGGAGAGAAGTGTTGAGTTTCCACTTTCCCAGAGAAGAAGACAATCTGAGCCTCACAAAAGCCCCACAATGGCGCATCAGCAACACTGTACCTCCCTGTCTCCCTACCCTGCCTCTCTCTCTCTCTCTCTCTCTCTCTCTCTCTCACTCTCGTTTTCGCTCTCTCTCCTGTCACTCTGTTAAATTGTTTTAAGTTAATTATATTACATTTATGTGAATTGTCAAACATTCGTTCTATCTGTTTGACGTTTACCTTCATGTTGCACTTCCGGTTCGGCCCACAAGATGGCCCCTCCAGCTGAACTGCTCCTTTCAATACTGAAATGTGATCACAGATATTACATTGAATTTTGCTAAATGAGTGACCAAAATCTAAACTGCTGAAGAGTTTCTGCTCCTGCTGATTTTGTCATCTGATATTTTCTTACTGGTGAGGTCACACAAAAGGCTTTGCCTGAGGGCCACTTGGCCACGTTACCATGGTGAAAGGGGGTTAGATGTAAATATACAAGCTCATGCTACATGTTGGAATACACACCAATTACAGCATGAGTTACCTCTCTCCCGTCTCTCTCTCGCTCTCGCTCCTACTCACACACACAGACACACACACACACACATACATACACTACCGTTCAAAAGTTTGGGGTCACTTAGAAATGTCCTTGTTTTCGAAAGAAAAGCAATTTTTTGGGCCATTAAAATAACATCAGATTGATCAGAAATACAGTGTAGACATTGTTAATGTTGTAAATGGCTATTGTAGCTGGAGACGGCAGATTTTTAATGGAATATCTACATAGGCGTACAGAGGCCCATTATCAGCAACCATCAGTCCTGTGTTCCAATGGCACGTTGTGTTTGCTAATCCAAGTTTATCATTTTAAAAGGCTAATTGATCATTAGAAAACCATTTTGCAATTATGTTAGCACAGCTGAAAACTGTTGTGCTGATTAAAGAAGCAATAAAACTGGCCTTCTTGAGACTAGTTGAGTATCTGGAGCATCAGCAATTGTGGGTTCGATTACAGGCTTAAAATGGCCAGAAACAAATAACTTTCTTCTGAAACTCGTCAGTCTATTCTTGTTCTGAGAAATGAAGGCTATTCCATGTGACAAATTGCCAAGAAACTGATGATCTCGTACAACGCTGTGTACTACTCCCTTCACAGAACAGCGCAAACTGGCTCTAACCAGAATAGAAAGCGGAGTGGGAGGCCCCGGTGCACAACTGAGCAAGAGGACAAATACATTAGAGTGTCTAGTTTGAGAAACAGACGCCTCACAGGTCCTCAACTGGCAGCTTAATTAAATAGTACCCACAAAACACCCGTCTCAACGTCAACAGTGAAGAGGCAACCTTCTAGGCAGAGTTGCAAAGAAAAAGCCATATCTCAGACTGTCCAGCTTAATCTTTTCTTTTTATTGGCCAGTCTGAGATATGGCTTTTTCTTTGCAACTCTGCCTAGAAGGTCAGCATCCCATAGTCGCCTCTTCACTGTTGACGTTGAGACTGGTGTTTTGCGGGTACTATTTAATGAAGCTGCCAGTTGAGGACCTGTGAGGCGCCTGTTTCTCAAACTAGACACTCTAATGTATTTGTCCTCTTGCTCAGTTGTGCACCGGGGCCTCCCACTCCGCTTTCTATTCTGGTTAGAGCCAGTTTGCACTGTTCTGTGAAGGGAGTAGTACATGATAAACTTGGATTAGCAAACACAACGTGCCATTGGAACACAGGACTGATGGTTGCTGATAATGGGCCTCTGTACGCCTATGTAGATATTCCATTAAAAATCAGCCGTTTCCAGCTACAATAGCCATTTACAACATTAACAATGTCTACACTGTATTTCTGATCAATTTGATGTTATTTTAATGGACAAAATAATTGCTTTTCTTTCGAAAACAAGGACATTTCTAAGTGACCCCAAACTTTTGAACGGTAGTGTACATACACACAGAAAATCAATCAATCAAACAGCAAATCAGGACACTGTCAAACTGTAGGCTTCTGAATCAGATAGTTCAATCTGACCCTTCCCCATAAACCATAAATCAATAACCATGGACTTCTATACAGGGGTCGTTGATTGGCATCTGCCATTTCTTTCACCCCTCTCCCTTCTGGTTGGGATCAGTGCAGATGAAGGAGAGGAGAGGAGGCCACTGTTGATTATTGAAATGCACCCCCATGTCTGTGCTTTGGCAGGGGGGAGCGGATGAGGGGACAGTCATATCCTATAAATAGCAGGGAGGTATGGCGTTGATAGGCCCTGTGGATGGAAGTGGGGGGTGGGGGTGGAAAAAGGATTAAAAGAGATACAGGGCCATATTCTGAAGTGTGTGTCTTTGGCGAAGGTGCTTTGTAAATGAGAGCTGTAGATTTTGCCACCGGGCAAAGTCTTTCCCCCAAAGGTCCCTTTGGGGGAGTTTCTGATCTGATGGACTATTAATGTTGTTTGGGGGTTGATCTATCACTTGTCCATTGGTCAAGACCACAATATTCTAATTTAGACTCCACATTGACCATGTACAATGGCCAAAGACATTGTCGTAATGTTAAATATGTAGTGATGGGCGTCTACATGGTTACTATGATGTCTAGAAAACGGACATTTTCTGCACTTATGCAACGGTTAACCAACGTTAATTGTACTGATGTATAATGTTTGTACAACCATGGTACTACTGCTTTAAAAGTGGATGCATGCCCAAGCCTGAAAGTTACCATGAACCACACAACCCTCAAAACTAGAGATTTATTAAATCCTTTTTCAACAAGAAAACTCCATCTATCAATATAGCCTTCCTTTCCAAAGATAGCAATTGTAACGTTATAGCTCATGTGCAAAATACTCAAAGGGCAGCTAATAGTGCAAAAGGAGGTTGATCAATGTGTAGAAATGACATCATCAGTGAATTGTGAGTTGGTTGGGAGAGACTATAATGCAATAAGTAAGACAACGATGGATGTAACGTTTCCCTAATGGTGCCTTGTTTCCCGTAGCCATTGTCTTGGTGGTAACTTTGTATTGACAAGCTGTCCGTAAATGTTAGGCCTGTGCTAAATTGTAACTGGAAGCCTCTGTTGTGACTGTGTTGGAGTGTGTTGTGTGTGTCACTCCCAGTTTCTTATTTTGAAATAACTAAAATAGGCACCCAGTTGTCTGAGTAAAATAATGTGTAAATAAACCCTTTTCCCCCCACCCCTTTCCTTTCTCCCCCTTTGCTTGTACTTCCATATACTATTAATCATTTTTGAAAGTATTGTGCTTGTGAGATTAAAGATGTATCAAAATGAATAGAAACCAGCTAAACCTCTACCATTGTGTTGAAGCTGTCTGAAGCATTCCTCGAAATTTCACCCTTTCTCTCGTTCTCTCCTCCCTTTGTCTCGTTCCCTCACTAAACCCTCCCCTGGGGATGGAAGGATTGTCATACCAGGAGAACAGAGGTGGAGCTCTGCCCTAGCAGCATACCAGGAAAACAGAGGTGGAGCTCTGCCCTAGCAGCATACCAGGAGAACAGAGGTGGAGCTCTGCCCTAGCAGCATACCAGGAGAACAGAGGTGGAGCTCTGCCCTAGCAGCATACCAGGAGAACAGAGGTGGAGCTCTGCCCTAGCATCATACCAGGAGAACAGAGGTGGAGCTCTGCCCTAGCATCATACCAGGAGAACAGAGGTGGAGCTCTGCCCAAGCAGCATACCAGGAGAACAGAGGTGGAGCTCTGCCCTAGCAGCATACCAGGAGAACAGAGGTGGAGCTCTGCCCTAGCAGCATACCAGGAGAACAGAGGTGGAGCTCTGCCCTAGCAGCATACCAGGAGAACAGAGGTGGAGCTCTGCCCTAGCAGCATACCAGGAGAACAGAGGTGGAGCTCTGCCCTAGCAGCATAGGTGTGCTTGTTTTTTTCGCTCCTTTTCCTAAAGCCTTCCCTTCCTCCTCTTGCCACCTGCCAGGTGAACAAATACCCCGATCAAAGTGAATGACTTCTTTCCTCTTGGTGTCCTGTTGGTCTATTGGCTTCCTCCCCGATACCCAAGGCAAAGGCTTCCTGGCGTGCCATGAACCTACAACGCAGTGGCATTGGCCAAGTGATTTGTGAGGGAAATCTCTCACTCAGCAGTAATTTCCATTTCCCTGCCTCTGTTCATTTACATGGCAGAGGTGCAAGATTCTACGAAGGCTTGCCCAGAATATCAAATCTTTACAACACCTGGAGAAGTTTGGAACATCTCAGTTCAACCACATCAATATTGTAACGACCTTAACCCAACACCTAGTGACCTCGTCAAGAGGTTTGGACCTCTTGGCGTAATGGTTAAGGCGTTGGCTTGACAGTCTCTGGACCTGGGTTTGAGTCCCGGTCAGGGTTCCCCCCAAATTTGCTACAATATAACAAAATGATCTCGTAATCTGTGCTGGCCTGCACAGCATTTATGTATTGAGAACACACCCAAAGCCATAGAACTTATGGAACCTATTGCCTAGCCACTAACACACCCAGTGATTTTTTTCAGATGGCCAAAAGTTGACACCGCAGCAGCAATCCCAAACTCCCTTCAGGGTCTCTCTGAGAAGGTCCCAAGACCTAAAGGGTCAAAGTTCATGGTTGAACAATAGGCTTCCCACTCTGGGTCAGTTGTGATCAAGAAAACTAATATACAGAAGAGTCAGATTGGACAAACTATCACTGTGTTTGGAGTTGGTGGAGTGACAGTAGGAGAGAGAGAGAGAGAGAGAGAGAGAGAGAGAGAGAGAGAGAGAGAGAGAGAGAGAGAGAGAGAGAGAGAGAGAGAGAGAGAGAATAGCCTCTTCAATCAAAGCTGAAGCCATTTTGGTTTGGTGAGGTTAACAAACCAGAGTATGAAGAAACCATAACCATATATTTGTCCAAATTACTGAATCAAAAATAAGTAATCTGTTAGAGGTCTCTTAAGGACAAAAATGCATGTCATGTAGAGGTTAAAAAGTGTAATGACTGAAGCTGACATTAATAAAATATAATATTGCTCAAATAACTGAGAAAAACTACAGTCATTTCTAAAGGAAAATGAGTTAGTCAAGTGTTATAACACACAGGTGTGCGTGCGTGCATCCCATCCCATTCTTGTTCATTCAAGTGTTGCTGAAGAGCTTCAAAACAAGTGGACAAAGGTTGGACATGGCATACCTTACTGTAAGTCTTAATCTTTCTCTCTACTGTTGTTATAAGAGCCTGTCTTTTGTACTGATGAGATCTATGTTTGCCTTCTCTCTTCTTTGGCCCATTTTTACTCATTCCCCTTTACTTATTCATATATACTAATATACTTTCCAAGTGTCTCCCTCTCTCCATCATATCATATCTAGCATCTAGTCCCATCACTTTCCTTTGCAAAAATGTTTCCTACCTTTCTCCTCTTGCTTGTTTTCCTATCACTTTCACAACTCATTCCTTCCCCTCCCCCTCTCACTCCCTCTCTCTGTCTCCCTCTCTTTATTCAGCCCCATTGATCATGCAAGCAGAAATGTATCACGCCCACTGCTCCAGTCAGTCAGGATAGGGCGCTAGCTAGGCTCTGTCCAACATACTGTTCTCTCGCCATGGTCCACCACCCCCCCCCCCCCCCCGCCAGTCCCCCTCGCAACCGTTTGACACACATACACCCGACAGCACGTCTCGTGAGGCTGCACATAAACAGCCACCACTCATTATTGTGTGTGTGTGTGTGTGTGTTTGTATTAAGTGCAGTTTGATGCATTGGAGGTATTGTAAACACACACGTTTATGTGTGGAAAAGGAGAGATTCTGGAGTAGAGTTTTTAGTTGTTGGAGCCCCCTTTCACTCTCTCACTGTCCTTTCTCTTTCTTTCTCTCTTTCTCTCGTTCGCTCTCTCTGTCACACATTCAGTGTTTTGATGCATTAAATGTTGCCTATTTCAAAGGCAAAAGGTAGCTTGCCTTGACTTGTCCCTGTAATGAACATATTATGTAGGCTATAGCTCAATGTGAACCTTTCAAATCTGCACAGTAAATAGCAGTAAACAAACTGCAGTTTTGACCAGTACACTTTGACAGTTCAGCTAATATACACATAGCTGGTAGGTAGCTAGTCCCCTGTAGCTCAGTTGGTAGAGCATGGCGCTTGGAACGCCAGGGTTGTGGGTTCGTTTCCCACGGGGGGCCAGTATGAAAATGTGTGCATTCACTAACTGTAAGTCGCTCTGGATAACAGCGTCTGCTAAATGACTAAAATGTAAATGTAGTATAACAGTAATCCTTCTACCCTCCCCCACCCCCCCATAAAAAAAGGGGTGGTTGTCCCACTGGCTATCCTAAATTGAATGCACCAATTTGTAAGTCGCTCTGTATAAGAGCGTCTGCTAAATTACGTAAATGTAGGGTAGTACATGCACCTCACTGTACCATAGGACAGGAGCAGTCCCACCAATGCGTTTAAAGCCCTCAGGTGACCATCTTGGCCCAGTGAAGAGGGTAGCCTACTTAGGGGAAAAGCTGGTAATCTGCCACTTAGTTGGTTAAGGCAGTCACATGTGCGGTCACGTGGGGGCATGGACAGGCCTAGGGCTGGAGAATATAATGACTTGTGTCCCAAATGGCTCCCTAGACAGTGCACTACTTTTTACCAAAGCCATATGGGATCTGGTCAAATGTAGTACACTAGGGAATAGAGTACCATTTGGGACGTATCCAGGGTGACTTAAAACCTCAGCCATTTGTAAAGAGACAGACAGCCATAGCAACCTGCTGCTGCTGTGACTAAGAACAGGCATGTACAGTTAAAACTGTTCAAAATTAGCAGAGGCAGGGTACTCTGTAGCTTACATACCAGGCCTCTGGCACCCCACGAGCAGAGCGGTTCCTAGAGCAAATGCCTACTATAGGCTTTAGCTCAGCAGGGTAACACAGTTTTGTGGTGTGCAAGAGACACAGGTTGAGGGTTTGAACCCAGTCGTTCACATTGTTGGCACAACCTGGATGGGTCTCTGCAACAAGGAGGTCTAAGGGGGGTGTACTGAGCTGGGCCAATAAAAGCTGTACTGTGCTGTCCTGGTTATGCATCCACAAGTTGCTGTATAGTAAATAGTAAATCATCAGTATGGTTAGGGTCAATGTGATAGTGTAAAAATTATGTATCTATGTCTGTAAGGTGTAGTGTAGTTGTCATGAATCCCTAGGGATTTCCCCATATCAAATCCATAGAAGTGTCATGATGCCACTCCATCCTCTCTCTTAGAAGATGCCTTCCACGTTCCACTGCATTCCCCCCTACTCTCAGATTTAGTCCTTGAATGTACTTCATACTTACTTAAGAGCTGGAGGCCTTATTTTACTAGGCATATACTGTCTACTAATAATCAATTCACAATAGACTTCCTCAAAACTTCCACTATGCACATCATTATCCTTCCGCGGGGAAACATTTCAAGAAAGCGCCATGCCTACAATGCGGTGTGGTGAGGGGCGGGAATCGAGAGTAAGGAAAAGCGAGGGAGAGGCGGAGCCTGCTTGTGTGTATCATTAGTGTGTGTGTGTGTGTGTGTGTGTGTGTATCAGCGTGCGTGTGCGGGCGCCGCGCTCGCTCGTCCCTCCTCCTCTAGACAAACCACCCCCACACCCCTCCGCCACCCTGAGTCTGCAACTCACTGCCTTTCCTCACCTCACAGTCAAGAACAGAGGAACGGAATGGATACGGAAGGGAGCCAAAGCAGCCTGTCCTCCGTGGACAACTCCCCCCACGACCCTTGGTAAATCTCCCGCGCCGTCTCACCAGCGCCTTGGCCTTGCTTGCTTCCCTATGTATGAGAGATAACAGTGGATTTGGTTTGTGTGGAGCCGACCGGAGCGCGGAGACAAAAGACAGGCAGGCATGCTTGTTTTGATGTGCTGTGCTCTCCAATGTGGTCCGCTCAACCGTGTATCAATGCCGCTCATCCGGGCAGGACCCTATCACTATTATATTTTTGTCTTTGAGTGAGGAGATAGCTATTGTAACAACTTTTTCTTTCCATTTGGAGAGCACTTGATTACAGTATTTTCTCGTAAGCATTATACCGGCCCGATTTAACCACTCTTGCCTTCACAACATGGCCGATTTCCCCCCCGTTACTTTATTTCAGTTATTGTGTATATAAATCTGTCAATTGCAGTTTGGTTTTAGTGTCTGAGTTCTGTTTTACGGTAATATGTTGTTCTACACTTCTTACTCTCGCCTTTATTTCTCCCATCCAGCAAAATGTTCATCGGGGGTCTCAGTTGGCAGACAACACAAGGTGAGCTGTCCCGCGAGCGACTTTTCAAAGTCCCTGGATGCAAATAGAATGCTTAGATTTAGGCTAGTGTTATTAGCCGTTTTATATACTATGTGTAGAAGAATTCTTACCGTTGTTCAGTGGACTATGTGAAACTCTCTGAAGTTTGTAAAAAAAAAAAAAAAACAGTTCATAGTTTATAGCCTATGCTGCCGAAATCAAAGCTTTCATTCAACGAGGATCAGTAGGCAACGCAGGATTTAGACTGCAGACTGAAACAGCCGAGACGATATGGGATTAACATTGTAAATTAGGACTAGTATAAAATCGTTTTTTAATGTTTAAAACTATTTTATCTTATTTGGGCGGTTGGTTACCATATGGAACACGTTTTTTCTTTTGATATCTGATTGAAGCAGGTGAGAACATCGTGCCTTTTGCAGCGTTGAGGGTGTTTTTGTTTGTGATATCGCATTGTTGCGCTTGTTACAGCGTCATTGAGGCCATTCATTCAATAGAATACAGTGTTATTAAAAAACTCATTGTTTGTAAACTG